CATTGCTAATCTTACATCGAGATTTTCGAATAATCAAATATAACAACTTTGTCAATAACACAATTAAATGAAAATGAAAGCAATCATCGTAGCAAAAAGCAATCAAAGTTAGGTTTGAGGTTTATTTCATTCAGGCCACACAGCTATCCCTGGCAATGTGGATAATTTAATAACTGCAATAGGGATGACATTCGTTTGGCTCTGCATGGCTTTTGACAGAATCACTATGCAGAAATGTGTTAGTAATTCATATCCTCGACAAGTAATTATATATTTCGCGCAAATTTTAGAAAGAAACCGTAACATAAGGAAATAAGAGCCTCTGATGTTATACGCGCAAAGGATATGTTACTAATCATTATTAAAGGACATTACGGATAAAGTTCAAAGTTCCAGATCTGCTTCTCGAAACCCCACGTAATTACCACTCTCTTCAGGAAATGTTTTACGTATGGCCGTGACGACGCATGCTGGCACGATTCTACGCCGGTTTTTTCCTAATACCCCATGTGCCCACCAAGTAAATTGTCTGTAGGTTGCCAAACGCCAAGTTCTAGAGAACAAGAGGATATAAAGTCACAAAAGCGATTGACTTAATTACGCGTACAAAATAAGAAAGAAAAAGACAGTTTACCTTTTGACGATAGGGTCGGGAATTGGATTGAGCCGCGCATTGTGGATTGCAACCAATGCCGTGCTTAAAACATCCTTGTCCAAGCATACAATGCCAAATTTCGGATGTTCTGTTATACATCTAACAACTATCAATACCCAAAAAGAAGAAAAAAGTCTTAACATTTTCTTTCCCTCACTGTTTCAATAATTTTCATCCATCAGACCTTGTAGTTGTAATTACAACTAAGATTGAGTTTGCAATTGTCCACCTTTTGTCACTCTTAGCAAAGAAGCGGCTGCTTCAAAAAAAATACTCGTGAGAATAAACACATACTAAGTACAAACCTGAATTGTCGAACTTTTGATTAAGCTCCTCTAGTTCTTGGCGGCAGTAACATTCATTTGCCACCGGCATAAGCGCACAAGCGCCGCACAAACACCATTCGGTGTTTCCCATCCTCGAAGTAGTGTCTTCTTCGTGGGCTTCTACCTCCTGTTCTACACTCTCTTCCTGAGGAGGTTCTTCTCCAGGCTGATATACTGGTTCGAACTGAAATGGTTCTATTCCGCTCATGACGAAGGGTCGACGAACAAGCAATTTGTATTAAAATTTAGCCGAACGATAACACGTCCTCAAGTGATCCCCATAACATACGTCACAGGCTCATTTGGAAGACCGCTGATTTAAAATTGGTGCCCACGGTTTGAAAGCCGAAACAGCGCGAAAATACGAACTTTAAAGATATATTTCTCCAAGGTAAGACACATTTAGCACAAATAACGCCTGAAATCGATAATTTCGTCACTTTGGCTATCGAAAGAAATTAACTCAATTTTTGGCTTCAGTTCTCCTTTAAGCAAGTTCGCTAGTGCACAAAATAAAACAAATTATAAGAAAGCCTATATTCATTTTGACACTATCGAGCAAACGAGAATAGCGAGAGCGAGAAAAAGACAGCTTGTGAAAACGGTACTAAGGGAGGGTGCAAGGTTACTTTTTTTAACGCGTTGCGATGTGTTATTGCATCCCCATGGAAATCAACCTGTATTTGCATATAATGTACCCGCGGGATACTACCGCGTAATCATGCCGAAGGTTACTTCACATACGAGAAAAAGAATTGCTTGTCTCCATAAGGAAGGATTTTTTCCAAAACAAATATTGAAAGCCTTGAGACGCGAAAATCTACAGGATCGTCAACAAAATACAGAAAACTGGATCCACTGAAAACCGCCCTCGATCAGGAAGGCCGACAAAGCTTCCAGCAGATGCGAAAGCTTTTATTGAAAAGCAAATAAACGACGAGGCAACAAGCGTTCAAATTCCAAAACATCTGGCCAAGCGTGGAGTCGTTGTGAACTCCTCCGCTGTGCGAAGATCGCGAGCCAAATAGGGATGGACGCTGCAGTGCATCCATTGCTGTCAACTGATAAGAGTAGCTAATAAGGTGAAAAGGCTAGAGTATGCACAACAAATCCTGGATTCCGGTGATGCATTCCATAATGTCATATTCTCTGATGAATGCTCAGTCTCGCTGGAACAATACAGACGAACATGCTACCGAAAGGTCGACGAGCCATTCAAAAGAAAACCGAAGCCTAAACATTCACTTAAAGTACACGTATGGGAAGGAATCAGCAGAAAGGGAGCTACTAAAGTGTGCATATTCGATGGTATAATGGATGCAGAACTGTACTGCCGTATTCTGGAGACAACCCTTCTACCATTCATCAATCAGACGCTACCAGACCACGGATTTGTGCTGGATAAGGATCCCAACATACGACAAGACGAGCGAGGGCCTTCTTCGAGGAGAATGATATAAACCGGTGGCGTACTCCCCCAGAGAGTCCGGATTTAAATCCCATGGAGAACTTTTGGCACGAACTGAAATTTTACTTAGAATCGAAAGTGAAGTCGTAAAACAAACAAGAACTGGTTGACGGAATAAAGGCGTTTTGGGCTGAGAGGGTGACGGAAGAGAAATTCGCTAAGTACATCGACCATGATCTCAAGAAGTAGTGGAGGCAAAAGGAGCAGCAACGCAATTTTAAAGATCGATTTCACATCTCAAAAGAAAACCGCTCCTTTGGGAGCCACAAATTTCACAAAAGTCATTGACCTATAAAAAGTTAACAATGGTTATTAAAACGACTAAGACTGTAACTACATGCCTTTTTTACACTAAAAAAAACAATAATCTTGATATCTTATGAATGAAACAGTCTTTGCACGATATATACCGTGAAAGTTTCCTTTTATGTACCCTAGTATTTTACGCATACAAAAACTTAAGATTGTTGATAAATTTAACAAACAGACAAACAATAATATTGGCACTTTTATGACCCGCTCTCTTAAACAATAAACAATAGACAACTCATGCATAGCCTTCATACCATCAATACGTTTCCTTTTTTTGTGCGCATGAGACCAAAACTGAGACAAAACTTTGTTTCAATTGAACTTCGCCCTTCCCAAAAAAGCAGTATGGTTAATTAAGGGCTGACAGAATCGGGCATTGATATTCCTTGTTTCCTTGCTTATTCTTTGCACGTGCCACAAAAACTAAAGCGTGTATGCATATTTCTTTAATCTCAAAAACAAGAATTTTAGCACTTTCAAATTACCCGTCTACTCACATAACAATCAAAGGACTGAAATTAGCCCGCGATTCCATTAACTCTATCAAAGTCGCTTTATCACGCCTTTTGTTCACATCTTTTCGCGTGTAGTTAATTTAAATATGAAAAGCTCTCCTGAAGCCTACGCCTCTATTGTTATGGAGAACAAACCACCAAATAGGAGCCAGTCATCTGATAAAAATCTCGATCCATCTACGGGCTTCGATTGCTATAAGAAAGGAAAGCTTAATTCATTCAACATAAGTAGTTTTCATCATAGCACATAGAACCAAAATGCAATAAATCATTGAAGAAAAAATCATTTTAGTAAAGTGGAGCCGAAGTCAGTATTCTGAAGAGTCTCCATCGGACATAGCTATAAAAGGTATGCTAATGAAATTTTGTTATTTTACTTCGATGAAATGCATAATGTTCTCCAACCAAATTGTTTTTATGTTGTTTTGTTTTGTTTTGCTTTTATGACCTGTATGTTGTACTGGTAAGAAACACCCTCCCCCCCTTCCCCTCTTGCGCTGCGACAATTAATACTTTGTTTTTCTGAGGTTTTTTCTGTTTTTCTTTTTTTTTTTTTAGCTGAGGTGATCAAGGCCTGTTCTTACCAGTGCCGCAGAACTGACGAAACGAGCTGCATGTGGGATACGTGCAAAGTTAGCACCAGAAAACGCTGCCAGCATTTGCGAAAAAATGAAAAGGAAAAGCGTCCGTACTAAACTGATCTTGATTTACCAATTTCATCCTAAGGCGTAGTGAACAATACTTTAATAAAATCATTTGTTTAATAAAATAACGTCTTTTTCGAATATTAAATCTAAATATTTCCCTTGAGGCCTGCCTCCTTTC